TCTCTGTTATCCTGCCAACTTTTGTGACTAAGAACAGATCATCTCTTCCTGTTATAACAGCAATCACTCTCTATTTTATGTCCCTGCTTCTTCCAAAGAGCAATTAATAAAGCTAAAAAACCTCCTTCATAAGTCAATCCTAAGGTCTCTAGCATGGATAAACAAATTTCAAAATGTAGCTTCCTTATATCTGAGTAAATGCGTGCAGAAATACAAAATGATGAGGTTGGGGATATGGTTATCAAGTGGTCAAGATCTTAAACTTACAACATGTTATTATTTTGAAGGCAGGAAGTAGAAGTTATTTATGATACCATGGGATGTGGAGTCCCCAAGTTTCATGAGCATTTGAGAGTATTATGAAATGAAGCCTGTTGAGTGTTGGATATAGAGATCGCTTGTATTTTATATTTGCAAAAATTTATGGCCTATCTATTCCACACAAAAATATCTGTATCATGGCTGAAGTCAAGACATATATTCACATTAATTTCTCCAACATTAAGCCCAGGTATAAAAAACACATTTGTATAAAGTTATGTAAGTGATAGGTAGAGATTTGCATAGGAAATGGACCAGTATCTTAGAAAATTAATATATCTATTTAGTTTCTAATAAATTAAACAGTTCGGTTTTGATAATGGTCATTAATTGACATGAATGTTTAGAAAATATTGAACAGTGAAATAAGGAAAAAGGAAAACAAAGTAGAAAATATTTTTAAAATAAAAGATCAAGATTTTCATTTATGAAATTTAGGATACAAACCAGTTGTTTTAACTCCTGACAAATGGAAAATCTTCTGTTTTTAATTATAATATTGGTGAACTCTGTTTACCATTGAAATACCATTGCTCGCTTCTAACTTGAATTGATCTGATCTTGTCTTTCTGAGATGAAACATTTTTGTGTCTATTTATTACACTAAGAAACGTTTTGTATGATGAGAGAACAAACTGTATTTTGATGTAAAGTCTGTGAAGTCCTCACATACACTGTTCAATTTTCTCTGAATATTTCCTTATTTTTCAATATTTTTAAAATAATGACAGAATACAATAGTCCAGTATCTATCTCACCTGCTTCATATGAAGGAGTAAAGTCTCATCTATTTGGCTACTAACTAGTTTCTTATTCATTTACTGGTAACCTGTGTTAATATCTCAGTTGTGATCTCACAGTTTAATGTCAGACTTAGTTGCTCACCACAAGCTCCAAATCCTGGAATTACTTCATCAGGATAGAGTCCCTCCATTCCCACCTGTAAAGGTATAATTTCAGTACTGTTTAAGGAGGCTTTTGACCTTGACATGGCCTTTAGTGTAGAATTATATCTACCATGAATCTGAATAATTTTCTATTTCATCCTTCAATTTCCACATGCTCATAATTTAAGAAATCATTTTTTTGTTGTTTGTGTGTCTTAAGGTATGTTAATTAATGTCTTATTCCAGGATTGATCAGTGCAATATCTGGCCATTAGGAAATATTAGGCAGAGGGAATGTCCTTTGTGACCTTGAATAGTTGATTCTTTATTGTTCTTCAATACTTTATAATATTTTGTGGGATAGTTTTGGAGTTGGTCACACTCAAAAATCTCATTTTACTGCATATATGACTGGACCAGCATAATTTTTTCATTTCACATTTTAGACCTCTCATATGTTGGTTCATTTTCCCTCATGCTCTGTATGCTAGTCTCCCAAAAATGTACAGCTAGGCAAAATTTTTTCATATTATGAGTAATTCCTATAGTACACTTGGAATCTGCTGACTTTACATGGTGGCAGATTTGGCTAAACAAGTGTGTAACTGAGGATGCATAGAGGAGAATTTTCTTAGGCATTTCAATGTCTTCATTTTATTAATCTTTTCTGCTCATGGTAGATTTATAAAGGGAGGTCAATATCCCATGAACTTAAGAGCTTTCATTAATTTTACTTTTTTGTACAGGAACAATATAATAACACAGCAGAGCTGAGGGACTGAAATGATAGTCCTGAACCCATTGCCTTTGCAATTAAGCTTCTTGAATTAGTTTTAAATTCTGTTAAAATTTTAAATATTGTGACAGACCGAAGCATGAGGACTTGCCTATCATTGCGATTTGCAAAGAACTATCTAAAATGTATGTTTATAAAATAAATATAATATCTACATAGTATAATATTATTGAATCAATACTTTCAAATGACGTGTCAGTTATTCATGGGGAACCTATAGAGGTAGACAAATGTTGTATTAAAACATCACAATGGAGGCTCTTTAAACTGTATAGAGGCAATATTTTGCAGCTATATTTTCAGTACATTATTGTGGGTGATATCCATGAATGATATAGTTATCTAGTGATCTGGGTATAAATAATGAAGAATCATGACCAAGATGTGGTCCAACTTCAGGTCCCATCCCTGAGGTGAGCTTGCTAATACCCATAGTGCTGTGTCTGAATCATAATTTTCTCTCTTGTCCAGTGAATGTTTAAACAATTACATTGAACTACTTTTTATGGGGAATATCTCAGTAAAATCCCTCTGGCAGAATCATAGTCTCTAAATTAGACAGAGAATTGATTTTAATTCAGGTCTCAAACATAACATATATGATTTAGAGTACATCCTCAACTAAGAAAAAATGAGATAATGCTTTCCATGTCAGGCTTTTTGAGCTTATTATTTATTTACATTTAATATTGAAACTAAGAAAACATTTTATATTGGAAAATGATAAAGAAGTTTCTAGTCTAGCTAAAACATTAATTGTTTTTAACCTGTCAAATTAAAAAAGAAAAAAAAATTTTTATGCACAGTAAGATTTTGAACTACACCCAGCATGTTTATGCACAGTCCACATCATCCATGGCTGCTTGTGTTAGGAGGGCAGTAGTAACTGGTCATTTCATCACTCAGAAGGAAGACTGATGAAGTTCCCGTAATAGACTGTGAATGTGGAACTGTGGGTTTGAACACTGATTGGTCAAAAAAATCTCAAGGCACAAACACTCTTGACTTGCAATATATCACACTGATTATGTAGATTTATTGTAAATTATTGGTTTTGAGGTTCATTCACAGAATAGAAGTTCATGGGATTAATATATTTTACAATTGGTGATAAAATTACAAATCTAATTAGTTCCTTATATTTCTGTGCTTTAGTAAGTCTGTTAAAGAGACACTTTGTAGTATTTCAGTATTCTTTTAAAAGGATAATTCATGAGATCTTCATAATGAATGGAAGGCTGCCTCCAATTTTAAATATCAGTATTCTGCCTAATAAGAGTTACCTTCCACACTTCCTTGTTTACTCAGAACAGACAGGAAGATACCAGCTGTTGCAGGAAAACATTGCTCAGTTCATGCAGTCATGATCAAAGCAGTTTATTGATTCATCACTGACAAGCAATTAACCAGCAACCAGTGAACTACATATTCAGGCTCTGTATCAGCAACACAGCAGATGAATGAAGATACAAGATACTTGCAAGCTATTAAAAAACACTGCAGATTTCTAAGCAACCTTGAAAACTAACACCAAAATGTTCTAAGCACCCCCTGCTTCGCTCCATCATTGGCAGAATGGGCAAGCAGCATCCCCACCCTATCGAGCACATGCCTTCTTCCCTGGCTGGCTGGGAGGGGTGAGTGCTCCTGCTCCTGCTCTCTGTTCCCTACCAAAGGCCCCTCCACAGGCACACCTGCCTGGCATGCTGCCCCTGTTACATCACCTCCCTGCTGCTGGGAGACTGCTCAGCCTGGCTCTGCAGGGCGGCTTTGAGAGTGCTGCATCACTCCTCCAGTTTGTGCTCCAAGATCTTTTCCCACAAATTTTCATACTTCATGTTTCTTTTGAAACTGTCTTCTTTTTGGTTTCAAATGTCTCCTTGAAGTTCCCCACTTATGTTTGAATCCAACTTAGAGTTATTTTTCTTGATTAATATTGAAGAAATGACATCTCAGACATTGTGGGGTGCTCTGTTTAAATACTCTGCTCACATTTGTGTTTCTGTCCCAGCAGCTGAACCTATCTGAGCTGTACAAATTAGGTTTGGGCTGTGAAAGTGCTTCCATGGTCAATTAATGTATAGAATTGAGACAAAATGCTCATATCTGTAGGACAAGGAAAAACTGCCACCGTTGGAGCGACATGGCAGAATTGATTTATCTGTTTTAGTGAGCATTAACTGAGAAGCCATCAAGTATGAAAGCAGTGATGTGCAAATTAAAAAAGATTATTACCTGCAAAAAAAAAATGGTTGGGATCAAGAAATCTCCTAAAATAACAACTGATCAAAACAACTGTGATTTGACAGAGTCACTTATCATCTACTTGAAGTGATTATAGTTTCTATTGATTATAATGAAAGAAAAATGGAAGATTTACTATATTATTTGTAGGGAAATTATCTTGAGCTTGTGGAGTGGAAACAAAGCATTTTCATTGCATAAACAGTGAGTAGCGACTCTTGTCTGTCATCTTCGTTTCTTTTCATCTCTGGTACTTAATATTTTCTAGAAATTTTTATAATAAAAATTTGTGGGGATTTTTTAAAAAACAATCAAGATTTCTGTGTGGGACTTCTTTTATTTTTCAAGGGAAATAACGTGCTATTGGAGTATAAGACAATAAGGAAAGATCTGTAGTAGAGTTTATGTTTAAGGATTACAGATTATAAGGAAAAACCACATTTTTAAATGTGTCATTATACTGGCAGAACTAGAACTGGATCATAGTTTTCCACAAAACATTGGCATTAGAAAAGTTTAATTTGTGATTTTTTTACACAGGTGTATATTTTAATGACATAAAAAACTGGTGGAACTGGAATCACTTGCCAAGGATGAAATTTCTCATAAAATATTTGAGTTATACCCATGTCAGTGTTACCTGTCGACCAAACAGGTGCCAAACCCAAGACCTTGTTCTTTATTCAATGCAATGATCCTTGTACACTGCCCACAGCTGTCCAGTTTTATTGGCCATTGTGTTTACTTTGTAGTGGCCTGGTGCTGCAGAGACTGGAGGAAAATAAACCAAACCAACCAGTGGAAGGATCAGATACAGCCAGCCTGGGAGAAGTGGGGAGCAGATCAGGTTCGTCCAGTAACGTGCATTTGGCTGGTTCCATGCCACATCCACCTGGCCCTCATGAAAACTGCAACTGACCTTATCTGACCATACACAGCTCAGAAAATTTATAGATTAGATGAGCTTGATGCTCCTTCTTTCTAAATGCAGAAACAGGTACTGCTAATTGTATAGTTGTTTCTAAGAACTAAAATTAGAAGTAGCATTGCAGAATAATAAAAACTACAGGGCTTTCTAATTGCTTTATAGTTATACTTCTGGAAACATGGTTCTACGTGAATTGAGATGGTGATTTGATAACTGATTCAATGTGTTGAAAAGCAAAGAAATTTGAGAGAAAGAGAAAAATATTTTCTAAATGTCGCTTAATTGAAACTTGAAAAATTAGATATAAATAACATAATAGTTACTCAAAGAATTACAAAATTATTGAGTATGCTTTTCTTAACCCACAAGCCATTTTTTTTGTGGGGGAAGAGAAAAATTACTTTTCTATTTTAAAATAATTAATTATTGTTTCTTATTTTAAGAGATTAGTTGATTCAAATATGAATTTGCATTCTGACTCTGTAATTTAGTCAGAGAAACAAAGCCAATTGTTTGAAATTTTGTTTTATCTTTAAGGGAACTATTTCATCATTCTAGAAAGGAAGAAAAATACTAGTTTGTTTTTCATGTAATTTTATTTTAAGTATACAAATATATTATCTAAATTTTGTGATCAAAAATACTTTGCTTTGAGTAGGAGGTTCATTTGAATCCCCTTTGCTCTCATTGCTTTCAATCCTCACTTTTGTGTTTGTATTTTAAACAACACCAATGAAATTACTTGTTGCTAAATGTGGTGGGTTGGCTTTGGGTGGGGGGTAAACTCCCACTCAGACACCTGCTCACTGCCCCCATTTGAAGGTGACTGTGAATGACACAGGGCAGACCCTGACATCCTTCCACAGAGAACATGCCTGCAGTATCTGTGCTACCAAAATTTAAAAGTTAGGAGTAAATTTTGTACCTGATTATGCACCGTCGCTTTGACAGAGAGGAAGAATAATCAAATATTGTGGATGAGCATGTCGAGAAGAATTTTTATGATAAATCAATGCAAAAGCACAAGAAAGATTACTTCCAGACACACTATGGCAAATTGCACGCTATGAATTTTGTTTGTAGATTTTAGATATTTTTATGCAGGGAAATAGCTGGAAAGAATTTCACAGCAGCAAAAACTTCAGTACAATATATTATTGTACCTTATTCCAAGAAAACTAACAAAATTCTACAACATCCTTTATCTTTGAAATTCAGGAGTCAATAATTATCCTTTTTATCAGTGACACTGACAAGTAAATCTCAGTCTAGACTTTAATACCCACTCAAAAATAGTCCTGATTATGTTCCTGCATGTCTATCCTCTTCTGTTTTTCACATTTATTAAATCTGGGTACATTTGACTATTGCTCTGTATTTGTGGTAATGAAATTTCCAGGGTGATTTTGTACTTTATCCATTTTAGAAGGCTGACACGTTAGAAGAAAAGATATAGAGCATGTACATACTATGTCATGCTTTCAGAACAGTGAAAATGGAACATACATGAGGCTATAAATGCTATAAAACCAGCTGCCCTGACTCCTAACTTTTGGAGAAAGATTCTTCAAAACCAAAAATTGACTTTCAGACAGGATATGTTTCCAGTGTCTCAGAAATATTCCTATTTAAAACATTGCTTGAGATATCTAAAAGTCTGCAAAAAACTGCAGGAACAAAACTATCAAAGTGTCTTTCTCTCTCACTCATAAAAGTGAAATAAAGCCTGGACTGTACTACCTTCAACCAGTGGGAGCAGCTGTATTTCAGGGAGTTAATGAGAGGCTCAGAAGAGGGGTAAGGAAAGTAAGGCCTGGGCACAGCTCTCTTCATATTAGTACCAACTGCAGTTTGACTTCTCCCGCTCTTGTGAGCCTTAGATCGGTTCTGCCAGGGCACAGACTGCCCCACTTCAGCTCTGTCCTGTCTCAGTCTGACCAATGTGGGGTCCCTTTGGCCAGAAGGCCGTAAATGGTGGAGATGTGCCAAGGAAACTGGTCACCGTCAGCTCATGTGAAATTGCGGTGAAGGTCACACGTCTGTAGTCTTCTCTGTGATATAGATGGTGTCAACACTTCTTCTCACTGCTGGTTTATCTCATTTAAAACTGCAGCACCTGGCTTCCCTGAGGACTTTCAGTAAGCTGGCTAATGCATGAATTACAGTATTACATTATAATCTCACCTTTTTCTTTCTTTTTTTTTTTTTTTTTTTTTTTTTTTACCCCCCATTTTTTTTTTTTTTTTTTTTTTTTTTTTTTTTTGACAGCACAGACAAAGCATTGAAACCGTCTGTTTGGAAGAGTAGAAGATACTGTTTGGGAGGTTTTACTAAAGTAGAGGATCATTCATTTTGTAGACAATTTTGAGAATCCTGTGGTAAAAACTATTAGGAAATTACTTTTTAGCTAGTGGGCAAACTCGTTCTTGCAATGAATCTGACTCTTTAATGAGAAAATATTCCATTTGTTGCTGCTTCTTTTGCAAAAATATTTACAGGTAAGAGTTTTTTTCTTCAGAACAAATATGTTCTTTCTACTTTATGTTCAACTGAAGTCATTAGCCATTAACATGCATCACAATTTCTAGCTGGGGAAAAAATTATGCTTATAATTCATTCCAGTTTGGACAAAGGACAAAAATGTTAAGTTTTTAAGGACTTGGTGTTAAGTTTTATTAAAGGGCTTTTTTCCAAATGTTTTTTTGTGTGCCCCATGAAGCATGAATATTTCTTTTGTGTTACTCAAAGGTGGATATGCCAGTATTTACCATGTCAGAAAAAGATTCAAACAGTGTGAATATTTCTTCATTCCTGTTGACTTAACGAAACTGACAGTCATGTCACATTTTATCATGACATGTACCAGACAAAGAACAGTATGATAAAACTCAGTTCAAAGCAGCATGTCATGTACAGCAAAAAATGTAAGAAGATATGGTCTGACTTTGAATGGGTGGTAAAAATCTCTAGTCTCCAGATTTTCTATGGTAAGAAATGTCTTATGTCCAACATTTGAAATATGAAAAGTTGCATGGCTTTCTGCTGCAATATTTTCCTTCTTTTACTAATTCCCTGGATTTCACCAATACAACCAAGTTGTATTAACACCTTGCAGTTGGTAATGGCATGGTTGAGAGTCTCTTCATACAGATTATGGGACAAACAGGTACAGTGGATACCATCATGAGAGTTTACTACAGGCAACCCTGCCAGGATGATGACACTGATGAAGGTGTCCTCCTTCAAGGAACAAAGGGTACCTCTAAATCACCTGCCCCTATTCTTACTGGGGACTTTTTCTAGGTGTAAGGTGGGAATACCACACAGCTGGTACAAACAGGCTCAGAAGATTGCTAGAACACCTGGATGGTAACTTCATGATACATGTACTAAGAGAGATGACTAGTGAAGGTGCCCTCCTTGATCTGATGCTTGTTAACAGCAAAGATGTCATGAGCAAAGCGAGTGGCAGTGCTCTTGGTCACAGTGTCCATGAAGCAGTTGAATTTAAAATCTCTTGTGACAGGAGGAAGAGTGGCAGCAATACTTCAAACTTGGTTCACAAGGTTCACACGACTTCAAGCTGCTCAGGAAATTAGTAAGATCCCCTGGAAAAATGCTTTTGAAGGTTCTGGGGCCTGTCAGTGTTTTAAGCACTGCCTCCTAAGGGTACAGGAGCAGGCAATTCCCAAATGTCAGAAGACAAGGCAGAAGGTTAGCTTTGCTGAACATGGATCATCTCTTGATAACCTGCCACTAGTGGGGTTTTGGAGGGCTCCATCTTGGGGCCAGTGCTCTCTAACAGCTTCATTAATTACTTGGATGCAGGACTAGAGGGGATATTAACCAAATTTGCCTATGCTATTACATTGGAAGAAGCTGCTGACTCCCTCGAAAGCAGGGAGGCCCTGCAGAGAGACCGGGACAAGCCAGAGGTCTGGGCAATCACCAACCATCAGCAAGGGAAAATGTTGGGTTCTGCACCTGGGACAGGGTAATAATCCTGGATGTACGAACAGACTGGGGAATGAGATGCTGTAGAGCAGCGCAATGGAAAGGGACCTGGGGATCCTGGTTGACTGAATCTGGGTCAGAAGTGTCCTGGCAGCCAGGAGGGCCAACCCTGTCCTGGAGGGCACCAGGCACAGCATCACCAGCCAGGCAAGGGAGGCGATGGTACCGCTCTGCTCTGCCCTGGGGCGGCCTCACTGTGTGTTTTGGGTGCTCCAAAAAAGGAAAGATATAAAGCTGTTAGAGAGCATTCAAAGGTGGGCAATGAAAGTGGTGAAGGGTCTAGAGAGGAAGCATAAAAGGACCAGCTGAGAGCACGTGATTTGTTCAGCCTGGAGAAGAGGGGGCTAAGGATAGAGCTCATAGTGGTGTACAGATTCTTCAGGAGAGGAAGTGCAGGGGCAGACACCAAATACTTCCCTACAGTTACCAGTGACAGAACCTGAGAGATGGCTGGTCTGAAGTTGTGTGAAATGAGGCTTAGGTTTGGCATTAGGAAAAGGATATTCCCCCAGAGGCTGATTGGGCACTAGAGCAGTGGTGTCATTAAGCCTGACAGAGTTCAAGAAGCATTTGGAAAATGCTCTCAGGCACATGGTATGACTCTTGAGGTGTTCTTCTGCAGGGCCAGAAGCTGGAATCAATGATCCTTGTAGGTCCTTTCTTACCCAAGATAGTCTGATTCTATAATTCTAACTTTATAATATCATACACTGTAGTCCAAACTCATGAACCCGTACTCAGAGTTGTGACACCTTTCTCATTAGTATAGATCAATACCACAAAAATGTGCTTTGCTAGAGGCATATATTTAAAGGAATAGAGGGATGCTGCTTGACCAGTTTACTTTAAATCCCAGGGGGGAATTATAGGCCTCATTGCACATTTGCATTTTGGTATATTTTGGGATTTTTTTAGAAAATATTAGTTAAATTCCTAAATCAGAAATTTAAACATGTTAAGTCTTCAAGTTCTATCCAGGAAAGAACATAAGCATATACTTCAAGGATGTGTTTACATCTAATTTGCTTTACTGTTGGTAGAGGCTCTGTTTAATCTGTCTGATGAACACATGACATCTTTATGAACTGTTTTTGTGATGATTAGGTTAGATAAATGACAAATTATGGATGGATTCCTATCACTTATGGCAAGTTGAAGCCAAATAGATCCTTGGGATTAGCACAGTTATGTAGATTTAGACAGAGTTTATGAGGATTATTTATTATCAGTGATGTGCTTTTCTCCCTTACTGCAGTATACCCTATGAAAGTGGGCACTTATTTTAAAGGGTACCTTTGGAATATATTCAATACCATAATTCTAGGGTAAAAGATTCTTTTTTTTCTTAAGAAAATAATTGTTGTGGAACCAGATCTTGCAAATCTTACTTTTCAATAATTTCCATGTAGTTTTTCAGTAAAAATATTCCAGGTACTATTCTTTCAATTGACTTAAAGAAAGAATGAAATTTCATGGTTGATAGCTAGTTTCAGTGTTCAAATATCTGTTTAAAATGCAGAGTTTGTGTTCAATTCTGTGGCCTTATACTGGCTGTATGTCTTCAGTATGTCTCTCTAATCTTTTTTCACTCTGTGATGTGAAACAACAACCTCCATAACTCCAAAAATTGCATGAGAACTGTATCCTCATGTCAGTAGTTATACATCTTTTCTCCAAAACCACTGCCTAGTCTTTTGTATTTGAAAATGTCTTTGATTGAAGGTAATTAAGCTGTATTTTAGGTCATAGTTAGCTATAATGAAAAGGGAGAGGAGGGGGCCTTGAGACTATTTCCAGAAAAAATCACCTTCAAGCAAGTTCTACCAAATGGTGAACATTTGCTCTATTTGTAATTAGTAGGAGGGAAGGGGAAAAAGAAAGTGTCATTTTTCTCTGAGTGTGGATTACTTACAGACATTCTGTCTCCTAATACCAAGGTCTAGTGGTAGCTCTTTTTTTCCCTTACCCCACAGCTATTCATTAGCTGATGTGCCAATGTCTGTCACAGTTTCTCCTGTGGGACAATGGTGTCTTAATATATTAGCAACAGCACAGAGATGTAATTATCTGTAAATAATTTAACATGTGTTTCATCCATGTGGAAGCTATCCAATCAGTCAAAGCAAAAAACTCCCTACATTTCCTATCAAAGTTTGAGTCTTCTACAATATGTTTGTTGTCATCTTTGGATTCTCAAACTCCTTCATTAGGTATTTCTTCGCACAAATATTTGGAACATCAAAACCATCTTACATTTCTGGGGACAAATTCAGACATGATGTAAATATGTATATCCTGAGGAATTTGTTATGTTTAAACCATATATAGTATTATAGTGTTACTGAATATTGTGTGCCTCGTTAATATTTATTACCTATATTCAGGAAGAGCATACATAACTTTAATTAAAAGTTTTTAAAGATAAGATTATTAATTATGCTGGTTATATCTTTTCTTCTCTCTGATCAAGCAAGCATTCAAAAATTAATTTTCATCAGCTTAATTTTCTCGTTATTTTTCTTCCTTTGCACTTTACCATGACAGTTTCGTAAAATGAGAATGAGATGAAAAATTAAAACATTATTCACTGCATGGGCATTTAGAAGGAGAGGAATTTAGTTCACTGACACCAACCTCCAAAGGGTCCAAAAGAGGCAGGTCAGATCTGTGCTGAACATTAGTGCTAGCTTATTCACACGTTAGTAAGGTCTGCTTATGATTTACCTGGCTTCTAAAATATACTGCCTAGAAATAAGTGAGTAAATGTGAGTAATCCCAAGGAATATAATAGCATTATTTCTTCTTGGGAAGACTGGAATGCATAGAGCTCATTCTAGGACCAAGGTTAAAAAATCCTTTTGAATGGAGTCTTTATTTCCCTATATGCAAAGAGTTTACCATTCTCTGGAGGATATCTACATGTATATAAATGACATAATTGATTCATGTTTGACAAAGTTTGACATAAGATGTTTCCAATATGTATAACTTTTAGCTAGAAGAGGGGCTGACTTCAGCTATTTTGAACGTTTAGTTTCACTTAAAACAGTGAAAGACTGTATTTACCCGAGTATGTGTGTGTATGGAACAATCTATGGAAAATCTCACTTTGCACTTCAATCTCAAAGGTTTCCCTGTGATTCTGAAGTCAGAATAATTTGAAGAATAATCTCTGCAGAGTGAAAATTGGTCTGCACATACATGTCTATAACAGAGACATTTATTAGCTAGAGCTAACATAAGCCAGGAAAATCTATGCTTAGGAGAGATATACTTGACACAGCATAAGTTCTAGCTACTTTTGCTGTGAGGTAATGATTAAAGAGATACCAGCTTGTTTATTAATGTGAATTACACTCCCTTTAATGAGGTGGGAATAATAAGCATGAAAATATTTGTCCAAAATTTCTATTATATGAGTGTGCTCTATCAAAAATATAAAGAATTTGAAATCAAGGGGTTTTTAGCAATACGTGAGCACTGT